AGGAGCAAAGCAACAGAAATCTCTGACCTGATTGGCTCTGACCAAAAATCTCCATATGAAAAGAGGAAGATTCAACCATCCAAACCGCCAGCCTTCTCCACTTTTTTTTTCATCTGAATATTCTATCCTGGGTATTCAGGATGCTTTGTAGGGAGGGAAATGAAACTTCCTCCTTAGCCCCTTTCCTTCTTTCTTATCATTAGTACCCTGACATGGCAAGGAGCTCCCTAACTAGGCTCCGAAGCCCCCTTGGCACAAGTGGGACAAAGAAGTATTCAGCACCACGGACAGCATCACACTCCCTTCGGTGTTCATTAAAGCCATGTTTTATCCATTTTACTCTCAGGTAAATAAAAATATTTTTAAAATACTTCCCTAAGGCCTTGTTTAGAGCTCCAGCTTCCCCTTCTATTAATTTAATGTTACCTTATGGATATGAATGTAATTTTTATATATCATTAAATCCAAAGGCTATCCCATGCCTACCTCCCTGTACCCATCCCACCACCTATCCTCACCTTTTATTTTCTGTTTTGGGGCAGTTCTCAGCAGAATTCACTATATGCCCACATTATCTATGCTCATGGGAAAAACCACAGAAACACATAGGATTTCTTGAGTGTGCATGTCTGCATGTCTTTAGCCCCATCCATAGGCCTCAGGCTGAGTTGAATTAGAGAGGCAGGGAGCAAGCCTGGTAGGAGCTGTTTTGTGTGGGGATCTATCCTGCTTTGCTGACGTCCCGGTTGCCATGGTGCTAGGTAACTGCTGAAGGGGATGATTTCTTTCAGAAACAGTCACCATGGGACCCAGCTGACTACAGAAAGGCACAGGGAAAAGGGCCAAATTGCTCAGGAAGACTTTCAATTAGCATTTTCAGAGCCAAACTTACCTAATGAGCCCTTTCCTTACTGAATTGTTGCTGACCCTGAATCTTGAAAAGATTCTAGGAATTAGCAGGGACACTGCAATGGTAACTCCCTCCATCCTCCACTGTTTCTTTCCTTAAAAGTCTATGTAGGTGCAACTGAAGGAAAATGCCAGCTTTATAGAATGACAATGGAGTGGGATCATAGTGCGCTGGGGAGGACACGAGAAACGTATCTCTCCTCAGGTTGGGGCTTCTGACTGTTGTGAAGCTATTTATCTAAGTACTACAGCCTTAATTGGGAGAGACTTTAGAAACATACCTGATGGCTGACACTAGGAACAATGTGAGAATTTTACAGGAGAAAAGATAAATATTTTTAATGTGAATTGCTAAATTATTTTAAATAAAAATAAATTTGATTATTAAGATCAATTCCTTGAATAGAGTTTGGACTACCCCAAATCAGGAATTTAAACTAGCTATATATTTGTCTTATAAGGCCAGCATATAACTGATTATTTCTAACTCAGAATCCTAACTATGGCAATTCTGAATATTTATGTTTGGTGGAAGAAATGCCGACTTGCAATGTACAGAAATGCAAACTCTAAGAAAAGAGGTAGCACAAGAGAGCTGGAGTATAACTTCAAGAAATTGAAACTCCTTCCTAGCTTAACATCCACAGCTTATTTTAGGAGAGGAGTCAGGTTAATTCTAGTTTTTCTATATGAGGCTCGCAGAGAAATTCACTTCTATTAATCCTAATACTTGCCATTTTCAGAAAATTCATTTATTGGGAAAACTGGATATGCATTTGAGGAAATTCTTAGAGAACCAGCAAGCTGGTAACTTAGATATCATCTCTCTTCTTAGTTAATAAGAACAACAAAAACAGCTAATATTTAACATGTGCCAGGTATTTAGTACATGATATCATTTAATACTATCAAACCATGAGACAGGTACTATTAACATTCCTGTTTTGCAGATGGAGGAAACTAAGGCTTAAAGAGGATAAGTAATATGCCCCAATCTGCACAGCCATTTAGTGTGGGAGCTGGATTTGAAACTATTTAATCTGATTCCAGATCAGGCACACTATACTATATTATTCTGCATCGTGAATAATGGACTAGACTAAAATAACTTGTCAATTTAACGTAAAGTGATTCGCTAAAAGAAATCAAAAAGATTGCTTTAAATTATTTGAGACCAAAAAAAAGAGCCAAGTTATTCATTCCTTTTAGGGTGATTACATGTGTACATCATAGCTTAATTATAAAATAATAATTTTCAAAGGACTCATAATCCAGAAAATTATTAAGAATTACTATAAAACATGTTGTGTAACATAATAATTCTGTTTAAAAAAATTAAATTTGTAATCACTAAACTTATTCCTAGCCACTTGGAAGATAAAGAGACAGTTGTTTTCCATCTGAACCTATAAACCCCCACAATACTTGTGTGGCTGAGGTAGTATTTTGAAAGTGATTTATGTGATTTTTTTTCTCCTTTGCCTGGGGAATCAGTTGCCTTAGGGACAGAAAGTGTGGTGCGCTGTTCAGAACTTAGAAAAGGAAAGAAAAGAAAGGACTATTCAGCTTCTGAAATTCAAAATAAGAGTGTGCATCAAGGTACTAAGCTTGAAATCCAGGCTATTGTTTTGAAAGCCATTCTCAAAATTCCTTTATTTCAGCCTTTCCTTGTCATCAACCAAAGGTACAAGACTGCTCAGTGTTCTGTCCTGTAGAGCAGGTCTTCAGACTGGGACAGGCAAAAACTTTCCCAGAGCATACAGTTTTATGGGAACTAATTTCTAGATCCTCAACTTCTTCAAGTATGCTTTCCAAAACTGATCTTCCAGAGAACTGGTGTAATCCAGTTGTCATGCTGGTTCTTGGTTCCCACCCAGTAGTTTTTCTTCCATTTTACCATAGAATGGTGAACCTCAAACCCATCTTTATCTCAAATCTACAATGATGCACTGCCTAGATTTAAAAAGCTCCTGGTAAAACCCCTGCAAAAAACAACAATAACAACAACAACAACAAAAAACAGGAAATATTGGCAATGCTATAGAGATATTAGTGAATAGCTCCAATAATTGGCCAACAAATCCTTTAAAAAGTCAGGAGCTTTCCAAATGCTTTAAACAAAATTGAAAGCAAATCACTATCCCAACTGTCCATTGAGAGATTCATTGAAATAATTTTCTTAGAAGAAAGCTCCTTTTACAGAAGAATGTCAGCAAATAAATGTAGAATAGTTAGAATGCTATTTTTACAGCCCCCAATAAAATAACTCATTCAGACAAACACCACAAAAGTATTCAAGCCATCAGATGACAAATTGTCGGGACAGGTTATTTGTAGGTCTACAAACTGCAATGGGAAATCTGTCCTTTTTCAATGGTGAGACTGGGTGGGTAGGTCACTATCTTAAACAAGTGACCAAATTAATATCACTAGTAGTGGAATAACCTCAAATTTTATGCCTAATATGAAGCAATGTGATCTACCCAATATTACTGATGAGGTATTCTTTCTAAAAATGTGTAACCTGAATCTAATCAAACCTCTATGCATAATGTCTAGTGAAAAAAAAAGGACAAAGGTTAAAGAAGCAAGTTATATCATGAGAAAAATAATCGGCCAAATAGTGAATACAGAATATTCTACAAGAGTACTGGTCTGGATTTATCAAAAAGTAAATGTCATGAAATATAAAAAGGTGTGCTGTTTGAAAGATGTACTCTTATAGATAAGACTAAACACACCAATTTCAAAACATGTAATCTGATGAGATGCAATTGGGGAGGGAGGGAGAGTTGTTATAAAATAGCCATCAAATATTTTTGGAGAACTGGGCAAATCAGCATTGTGCATTGGATATCAGATGGTATCATAGGATTTTTATTTATATTAGGTGTGAGAAAAGAATTGTAGTTATTAGGAGAACTTCCTTATTCTAGGAGATGCTGAAGTATTTAAGGATACATATCAAGGTGAATGGTTCAACAACAAAAAATATGTATGCACATATACAGAAAGAAAAATATGACAAAACATTAATAATTGGTGGATCTAGGAGAAGAGTGTAGGGGTGTTTCTTGTACTTTCAACTTTTTTGTCTGGATGAAAATGAAAAAGAAATAAATATGGCTTTATTGAAGAAGAAGAACATGTCACATGGAAACTTAAGAGTATGTCCTTCTCTGAATTTCGAGTTTAGTGACAGAGAGAGAGAGAGACAGACAGAGAGAGAGAGAAAGAACAGTCAGTCACTGGGCTTGCCTTCTCTTTAGGCCAAAGTTAGATATGAATGTATTCATTTTCTATTGTAGCTGTAATAAGTTACCACAAACATAGAGGCTTACAACAACACAAATGTGTTGTTTTACAGTTCTGTAGGTTAGAAGTCCAACATGGGTTTTACTTGGTTAAAATCATGGTGATTGCAGGGCTGTGTTTGTTTCTGAAGGCTATAGAGAGAATCTATTTCCTTGTCTTTTCCAGCCACCCACATTCCTTGGTTCATAGTCCCCTTAACCATCTTTGAAACTAACTTTGTATCCCTCTAACCATTATTCCATAGTCATATGTCCCTCTGATTGACCTCAGACTGGAAAGCTCCTTTTAAGGACCCATGTCATTAGACTGGGCCCACCCAGATAATCCAGGTTAATCTCCCCTCTCAAGGGCCTTAACTTAATCCCAACCACAAAAGTCTCTTTGCCCTATAAGGTAACACATTCACATTAGGATATGAACATCATCAGGGGGTCCTTATCCTGTATACCACAATGAGTTACCTCATGTTGAGAGGAACACTCAGGGCAAAGGATCTCTGCCATTGCTCCCTTTTTGGGACCACTGTCCAGGCCCCTCATATCTCATTCCCTGCGCTTTCCATGGCTGTTCAGGCCAGTGGCAAGTCCCAAACAGCATGGTCAGACAGAGACAGAGCAAGTATCCTAAGCCCTCCTTGTTCCCTTGAAGCATGGATGCTGAATTAACAGCCAGTGGGCTTCCCATGGCCAAGTGAGGTCACTCCATAGCAGGGGTCAAGGGAAAGCTGAGTCAGCAAGAGGAGGTGGCCCATACTCCCTGGGAGATTTGCCTGAAGCCAAAAATAGGCCATGAATTCACCAGCTGCAGGCTTCAGCATCAAAGGTCAACAGGTTCCGCAGATAGTAGATTGATAAAGAATACTGTGCCAGAAACCTGACAGTGCACACAGGTCCAGAATGAAGCCAGGGGATACCCTCTCTCTCACCAAATCCAAAAGGATTTGTACGTTACCCCTTCTAGATTCTTGTAGGGAGAAGTGTCAACCAATTCATCTTCACACCTCTAGGATCTAAAAAACAAGGCAGGTGTCAACAACAGTGTTCTAGCACACTGAACAAGCATGACATTTGGGACTAACTTAAAGCAACTTAATTTTTATTTTCCACTGTCCTGTGGAATCACTCTGTTTGTTCTTCTCCCAACCCTGAATGAAAACTTGGGCAGTCCTATTCCTTTTTCTGGTCGCTTTTATTAAGAGAAGTTAGTAAATAAATTATTCAGTCCTGTACAGTAGTCAAAACCTGTCACCTGACTTAAATTTAAGGGTTTTCTCCCTCCACTCAGTTTGTGCTTGCTGTAGATAGGAAAGCTTAATTTAGGGAGTGTGGCCACTTAGCTCGTTCCCTGATTTGTTTGTCTAACAGCACTCCAATAACTTCATTTAAATATCCTCTTCAAAACTCCTTTAGAGTCTTCCTCTTGACTCTTTTATGCCCTTGATATGGGTGAGAGTTTAAGAGCAGTCTAACCTGTTTTCACCCTCGCACATTTTGCAAAAGTCCTACAGAGTGGTCAGTCTCTGGTATCTTGTTGTAGGATCTCAGGCAGCCCTCCTATTTTAACATACATTTACAATAGCTTAACTAAAGTGTTACCACTTGTGATTTTTCTATTTCTAACTTTCAACCTGTTTTCCTCATCACTTGAGTCTCCTATCCTTCTATCCCACTCCACTCTTCATTTCTGCATTATCTGCTATTCACCCACTTCAGAACTTCCAGTTATTGACCTCTACAGTCTCTGAATCCCTTGTCTCCTTACATAGGAGAACACATTTAGCCATTTCACCAATTCTCTTGTTAGACAAACTAATGTTTTCTCAAGAAAAGGGATCCAATTAGATAGGTTACCTTATGTGGCAAAAGATATTCCTGACCAGTACTGCTACATTTGGGTCTTGACATCCAATGACTGAAGTAGTAGGTGGTTTCTGAATAACTTATATTCCTAGAAACCAGAGTTATCCTACTAGAAAGTAACTTACCTCTAACAAGCTCAAATTCCTGACCCGGACATGCCATCCTCCTATTTCAAGGGATTCTTTATTCATTGAAAGGCTACAAAAACAGGCTTGAACCTTAAATTTTTCATCTGTTAGTAGCAATGAAACCATTTGGGTAGTCAGAGCAGCTACGTCAATCCTGACAGGCTACGGGAAGAGGCTTCATTATCAATGGCCTGCTGTACATTCTTTCCTATGTGAACCCTCCCACTGGGGAAAAACATCCACATGCACACACTTCAGTGATGCTTTGATGCCCCTCCCCAACCAGTGGTAAAGAGCAGGTCGTAAAGTTCACCTCATCCCTCTATTGTATTAGCCCTGCTGATGACCCAAGATTCACCACAGGGTAAAGCATTAAAGACATCACCATTTGCATTGCCTTTGCTAGATCAAAGACCAGCCTGGGAGACTTGAATTCCTCTTCTGCAGCAAATTCGGTATAGTCCTGGGACCTACATTAATGATCTCATCACCAACCTTTCCCCAATCAGGTTGCTTATCACCTTCTTATCATAGTGGCCTTTTCCCTGAATACAGCTCATTATGCCCTACTCATCTGGCCATGTCAAGCTCTAGGTTTTATTTTTCCAGATACTTTTCAAATATATAGCTATCCAGATCAGGTGGTCTTAAACCACAGGTCTAATTTCTTCTCTCCTCCTGCTAGAGGGAACTCTTAAAGCAGTGGTTCTCAACCTCATTAGCAAAAATGAAGAGCTTTAAAAAATACTGATGTCCAGGCTCCACTCCTAGAGATTCTGCTTTAATTGGTCTAGGGTACCGCCTTTGCATGAGAATTTTTTAAAGCTGTCCAGGTGATTCTAATATGAAGGCAAGGTAGAGAACCTACCTTAAGGCTCACTAAATAAAGATGGACCTATGTTAAATAGAGCATCCAATTTGATGAGTAGATGGCATGCATAAATGTGGTGGGAGGCTCAGAGAAGAAACTCTCATTTGTTGATCATATGCTATATACAAAGTTCTATGCTAGTAACTCATGCAGTCTTTTCAACAGTACCTTTTTTCATCTTTACAATCATCCTATGAGGTAGGCATTATTATCCTTATTGTATAAATAGGGAAACTTAGACTCAGAGAAGTCACTGAGAGTGACTGGCAGACCCAAGAGATAAATTCCAGGACTAATTCCCAATTCCACACACTCTCTGTGACACCATGCTTGAACGCCATATCTCTTACAGCTAGATGACTCCCAACCCTAAAACAAGACACCCAGGCTTTAATCTAGAAATCCTATTGCATCCAAGGATTTTTCCTGCAACGTTTTCCCATGAACTCCATATATATATATATACATATATATATATGTGTGTGTGTGTGTGTGTGTGTGTGTGTGTGTGTGTGTATATAGCCCAGCTACTAGGTTATACTTTAGGCTGCCAAAATGAAGAACTTCGGGAAGAACTTTTTGATATGGGACTACCATATCTGGCTCTTTATTGAAGTGCTTCCATTCTGTACCTGCTAGCTTAAATCCTGTGGCTTTCTATATTTAGTTTTTCTTACAGATGAAGCTATATTGCTTACCTGCAAGCCATTCTTTTGCTGGTCTAGTAAAATTGTGTGCTCCATCAGCATCCTCTGCCTTGAAATCCAGACAGTAGAAAAAGGATCAAAATATACTGGCTAAACTGCATAAGACTGCTGACAATATTGAGATGGATTCTAATACCTAGTGAACTGGGAGGCTAAAGGCTGGAAGTACGTACTTTTGTAATGTGCCAGTGGCACATCTAACTTGGTAGCTAAATTCCACCATTTCATTCCACGAAATCTACATTTCATTCTGGCTGAGGTATGGGGTTGGTGGGAGGTGGTAAGGACTAGGGGTTTCATTGGGAGAGAACACTTCAGGCGTTGGGTGGTACCTTTAAGATGTTGCAGGACAAAATCCAATGCTCATGCAGGTGTCCCATGTATCCTGAGAGAGAAAGAGGTCAGATTAGTCACTCTCAAGACAGTTCCCAAATTCTTGGCTCCCGTTACCTTAACTGTTTTTCCTGATCCCAATTTAGCCCTTACTCAGGACTATGGCTTCTAGAATCCTCCTTGTTCCACTCACTTAGGGACGTCTCACTTTTCACCTTACACATCAAGGACTAAATGTGTGGCATTTCTGCTTTTGTTTACAAACATGCATAGGTTCACACTGTTTTAGGGAAACTTCCTCTACTGCCAACAAACAGATCTTCCTAGTCTCACCTCGCGGGTGTGGTGTGTAGTAACTGCCTTAATTTACCTCTCAAATTTTCCCATCTCCTTTCCACCGCATTCTTAGTTCACACTCACATCATGTCCTGGTCTCCATTAAAAATATATATATTTTTTAAAATATTGATCCCTCAGATTTATTCCTTTGTCGCTTCCAGTTATCTTTCCAAATACATAAAACTCATCATCCTTATTTTCAAACCTTGATCGGCTCTGCCACGCCCACTCCTTCACTACCAGCTTCGCTGTAACTTCCTCCTCTCATAGAGTTCACAGCCAATATATAATAACGGAGAGAAGGGACGACCATACAGGCATGTGGAGTTGTGACTGCAAAATCTCGAAGAATGTACTATTTTGTGCTTGAATCTGTCAGATCATCGTGACCCACCTTTCTCGAGGACCAAATTTCGTTGGCTATAATCAGGCAGAAAGTTTTGAAATTTTTTCGCGCTAAAACGATTCGTTCGACGCAGGCGCAAACGTAGATTTGGGGGATCCACTCTTCGCGCAGGCAGATCTCGCGTTGTTTTGGGAAGCCGGAGAGTGAAAATGGATTTGTGTGTGTGGCGTTGAGGCTTTTTTTTTTTAATGGAGCGCAGATGCACTAGTGCTGCAGTCGAATAAAAAATCAGGAGTCGGCGGCGAGAATAAATGAGGCTAGTATATCTAGCCGACACACTAACGGCAGCTCTCTGGGCCCAAGGAATTCTATGGAGGATTTCCCTGCAAGGCCCTGAAGGCCGCACAGGTTCTTCGGAGACAAAATCCAGATATATGTTAAAATAGGTAAAGCTAACCAGTTTATCACCTTTGGACGCAGCGTTTTGTTTTGGCACGTCTCACCTATACGAAAAATCCCATTGGCTACCGACCACTTTAACCTCCAGCTGCCGTTGCGCCTGCGCAGAAGTTTGTTTACTAACTCGGGCGGCTCTCCTGTTTTCAGATCGCCGGCGTTTACTGTCTTGATGTGTAATTTGTAATGAAAATCATACTCAGTTTGGGGAGTAAGAACAGGACAGTTTCAGTGTAAGTCTGAAGCCAGTGAAAATACGAAACGGTAATGAATACTAAACACTCGGAAAGCGTTGCGTTTCGAGGAATATCTATCTTGATAATGAACTTAACAAAGATGATAGCACTTTAACTAAAACTAAGGAGTGATTGATTAGCAGCGACCGTAAACCCAAAAGCATAGGTAGTATTTAGGTACCTATTTAAAATATGGACTCTGTTATGGTAAAGATACAAATATGCTTAAACCTGAGGCCAACCTCGAGCAATACTTGCATGACTAAGACTAAGTCAAAAAGGCAACCATGCAAATTTTGAAACTAAAAAGAGAAATGACTCTAGAAGCAATAGCCAGAAAAAGCACAAACCAACAAGCATATTTTTAAAAAATGGTTTTAAGTTCCCTTCAAAGACAGTTTCAGCTGGCTTAGAAGGCTATTTACTTACAAGATGAGAAGATAAGGTGAAACTTCATGTCATGGATATGACTGAATCCGTTTGAAAATAAAAAAGGCAAACTGGCTTTTTAAAAAGTGGAAGAATTTTTAATGACGCAATTTTTAATTTTAATGAAGAATTTTTCATTTTTAATGGTGCTCAGAAAACCTTAAATAATTGGTGGATTCAGCCAAACCTGGATCTTAGATAAAAACGAGGAAATTAACAATTTGGCAATTTTATTGGATTCTATTTGTCATGTTTTAAATGAAAAATTCGAAGACTTTATAAAAGTGAGGTGTTTAGGTAGCATGACATGAAAAGTAAAGAAAATGTATAGACATGTGAGTTGGGGCCAAACTTTGAAGGCTGTGGGAACTTCTAGCATCATTCATAGATGCTTCATCTAAAAAAATTAGCCTTTGGATTTTTCTTATACACAATAGGATATGACAGTAAAATTAAATCTAGCAATTTGGATATTTACCTTTTAAGGCAAATTTGTACCAAAGTCAGAAGTGACTTTGCTTGCTTCATTTTCTAGAGGTACATGCATTTGGTTGCGGTAAGGCTACTGTAACCAGTTTTTCTAAGCCAGGGTTGAATTGACATTTGCTTCATGACTGGTCTTAGGGTTTATACAGATTAGGTACATTTAAGGTGAGTTGATTCCTTATTCACCTTAATGATTAAGACCAACATAAAAATGGCTTACTTTGTCAAGACAACAACTGTAAAACAAGCTTGAGTACTTTTGTTGCACATGAAGAGATGAGTCTAATGAAAATTAAATATAGGAATTGGATGAAGAGTTCATAACTGAATCCTTAGAGAAGATTGTGATAAATGTGATGAAAATGATAGTGTAAGACTAGTAATGGTCAAATAAAACTTCATCTGTTTACTGAAAAAAAAATCCTTTGATAAGTAAAATAAACTCTCTAATGTATTGGTTTCCCATTCAGTCGGTCATATGACTTGGGAAATAATCTTACCAAAATTTCCACAATCAGCTGAAAAAGTTATCCTTGCCATTTATGTAGCAGCATTTGGGCACGTGCTCCCATAATTAATCTGACATTGTAAAGCAGTTAAAAAATGCTGTCATCCGTATGCACATATTTATATGAGCCTGGGTTCTTGAATTATTCTGACCCCGAGATAAGAGAAATTGCTGAACATAAATCTGATATGCGTTCCCAACTACCTAAAATTGGTTGAATAAACATAATCTTATTAAGTGAATGATAGTAACCTTTTTTCATGATAGATAACCTTTTAGACTAGATAATAGATAATTTTATTTTTAAAAAGAAACATGTATTAAGGCCTATTTGCAGTGTTTGTGCATGAATCCTTTAGTAATGAACAAGGGACTTCAAAGAAATTTTGCTGCTCCTTCTAGCTCTGCACTCTTGAGTGTTGGGAATAATTCCAGCACTCTTGTTATTCACACACATACACACAAAGAACGCTTCAATAGGTAGACGGGAATCCTCAGGAAGGAAGCTGGAGAGGGGTGGAAATGAGAGAAAAAGGGGTGAACTTTGGTTGTAAACATTAGGTAATGCCCATTGAGGAGGACATCTTCTTTGATGAAGCACTCTTCCTTGTGCTAAGGAACTTCATCCCCCCCACCTCCCTCCAATGCCCATATTCGTATGGGTGGTTTCTTCATTTCACTTATATCTCTGATCAGGAAAGATGCCTTTCTGTTCTGACATCCTCAACATATTAAAGAGTCTTCTGTCATAGTCATGAGAATGCTGCCATAGCTCCAAACATAATGTTCTCATATGAAATGTTCCAAACAAAAAGGAAGAGGTATAAGTGAATTAACAACAACAAAAAAGCCTTTCTCCTTGTGACCTCTCTCTCCTTATCAGGGCCTAAAATCATTCCCTTTTGACTTAACAGACTTCCCTTTACATCTCATCGATTAAAACTATATTATTTGACTACCCCAAGCTTCCAGGAAGGCTAGGAAAGTACGTACAGGGAAAACATGTATGTTCTTTAAAATGGTGCGCTGAGAATAACAGCACTTATGGGAAATAAAAGGTTAGGAGCAGATCGCTCAAAACCTATGCAACTTTGTTACTTGAAAACTCTAAAAGCTACTGTGCTAATAAAAATAGTAACATAATTAAAACTGCACTGGCATTTCTACTCAACATCACAGTCATTCTTTAGAGCTACACTGTCCAATATGGTAAGCATTAGCCATGTGAGGCTATCGAACATTTAAATGTGCTAATACAAATTGAGATGTGCTGTAAGTGTAAAATATACACCAGATTTCAAAGACTTAGCCCGAGAAAAATATAAAGTATCTCATTAATAGTTTTTCTATTGATTACATGTTGAAATAGCATTTCACCTGTTTGTTTTTTTAACTTTTACTTTTAAAAAATGTGGCTCCTAGAAAACTTTAAATTGGGTATTATATTATTATTATTTCTATTGGACAGCACTGCTTTAACCCTGTGTATGTGCTTCCTCCTTGGACATATAGATCCTTGAGGGTTCTAATTAAAAGCAATTTCATCGAAATTAAAAATCTGATCCAGGATTTAGCTTTCTTGGTTAATCAGCCCAACACACACACACACACACACACACACACACACACACACACACACACACGAAGAAATTATTTCACACCTTCATTTACATTGCATCTTCACCATATAATATTGTGAAAAGCTTCAACAAGCCTCTATTTGCATTAAAAGAAGGCATTTCTGAAGAATTTTTTTTTCCTTATGGTCTTTATATTGCTAAGGTTTTCTATTTAATAGTGGTTGCTTAAAATGTGTGTGCTGGGAAAAATAATGAACAAATATAATTTCTGAATTATGTTGATGTTATTTCCCCAATTGCATATGAGCTATTAATGCCTTTATCGGGCTTTTATTGTGGGAGATAGGACTGCCAGTATGCCAAAGAAAGAGAGAATTTTAACCCTATATTTTTAAAGCATTGGTATATGATTATGGGCCATCTCAGACAGTGTCAGTGAACAATAGCAGGAGAATAAGATGACTCTTCTAATCACTACATTAACATTTAGTAAATTGTTCCATTTGCTTAACTTACTAATTCCTTCTCGGCTAAAAATCTATTGAGTTCTTAAGACTCATTTCAAAAGCAACCTCTTTAGTCATGCCTTCTCTGATCTTTAGAACCTTCTTAGAACTTTGCTTATACTATCTTTTTATAGCACACATAGTTGACTTTGTACTAATATTATTGTCTCTTTGCTTAATTTTTATATATAGAATAAATCTCCCCCATTGAAGACAGTGATCGTATTTTATTCACTTTTCAAAATTCTGCGGATTACTGGTTTTATGGTTCATGCAGATTAGGCACACTTAAGTTTTTGTTGAATTTAATTGTGCTATATCTATCCTAAAATGATTTAAATAATAGAATATTTTTAAAATTTCAAGTATGAGTTGATATTTGACTCAAATCTCCAATGCTTAAAAAATGTACAACAGAATGCTCTGTATAGAATAGTTTTAGAAAATCAGAGTAAACATGTTAGAGTATGCACTGATAGATTTTTTAAAAATTATTTTAAGTGAGTATGACTAAATTCACAGTAAATATAGACCTATAGTAAATTTTTTCAAAGACTAGTTTTCTGGCTCTCCCTCTAACCACCCTTCCTCAGTGCTTTTTCCCTTTCCTCCTCTATTTTAAATTCCTTGTGTTTTCTATACTTCACTGTTTTGACAATTGCTGAAAACAAGAGATCGGTAAGAGATGTCTAATTTTTAAGTCTAAAACATCATAACTGCACTTAAAATCCTGAGTAGTAAGCATTCTTGTTAAGTAACAGTTATGATGAGTTTAGTAATTATTAACCCTGTCCATCTAATTATATTATTCTTTGTCCCTGTAATCAGGACACTCAAGAACGATGATTTAATTCTGTTCTAGTCTTTTCACTTGGATATATAGTATACTGACACAAATCTCATCTTGACTGATAAACTGGACTTAGAAGAGCTCTTTTAGAATGACTTAGAAGCAAAAGAGAATCTACAATTTAGGCAATCAGTAACAGTTTCCCTAAGTTTTC